CTGTCGTCATCAAAAAATAGATGGCGTTACCGTCGCGGCTATAAAATTTACTCGAACGTAATAACGAGTGAGTTATAGGTAGTAGTTAACTGTTAACGTTAGGTTAATTACTACATATTCTAACGTTAGTATGTATAGATCAGTGGTATAGTAGTTATAATAGTTCATAGTAATTAACAGTATATTGATTATTAATTATCATAATTATATCATTATTATATGTAATATCATATAATTCTATAATAGTTGTTATAATAGGTTACTAATTAACTGTTAGTATGCATCATTGTGTAAAAATTAGAGCGAGTTTTTGTACGATATTAACATATTCGCTTAATTGATCCAGTTTAGCCACTACCAGCTCTAATTGTTCTCCGTTGCAAGCGCTGAAAATGGGACCTGTTTTTCTAAAACACAATGCCAATGGTCGCGATGTGTATGCGAAGCAATTAGCAGGTTTCGGACCGTACATTACCCTCCGCTTGCACGTGGTTTTGAGGTATTTTGAGGTGAAATTTCGCGTGACGCAGGTTGTTATACCCATGCACGCACTGTTTAGCATGAGTAGCGGAGATAGCATCTACAGCAGGATCGCGTTAAAAACAGATTCACTGAATCTGTTGGCAAGAAATAATGAGCGTGGGATAGCGCGAGAAGAGGGGCCACGTCAAACCTACACCATGCTAATGTGAAGGGAAATTCTATCAAGAGCGTATAAAGAAGCACGTTTTTTATACGCTCTTGATTCTATCCGTAGTTGTGGAATAACAGAGAAAAGGGCGAAATAGAGATAGAGGGCGCGAGAGAGCGAAAGCAAAAAGATTAGAGGAGAGAAAGAGAGTGTGAAAGAGATCAAGAAAGAAAGAGGAGCGAGAGCGCGCGCGCGAGAGAGAGAGAGAGAGAGAGAGAGAGAGAGAGAGAGAGAGAGAGCTAGAGCAAGAAGAAGAGAGAGAGAGAGAGAGAGAGCTAGAGCAAGAAGAAGAGAAGAGCGAGAGAGTGAGAAAGAGAGCCAGAGTTCAAGAAAGAGAGAGGAGAGGGAGCGCAAAAAAGAGTAAGGAGAGAGAAGAGAGAAAGCGAGAGAAAGCGAGAGAGAGAGAGAGAGAAAGCGAGAGAAAACGAGAGAGAGGGGGCGAGGAGAAAGAGATAGAAATGAGTAAAGGAGGGAGAGAGAAAGCGGGACAAAAGGGACAAAACTACAGTAGGACCATGGGAAATTTGCTGAACGTTCTATCTGTGCCGCCAACGAATAACGAGTGCGTTCTATAATACCATAACAAATGACGTTGATACGTGTGCGAATCCCCGCAGACTTCCTCGCCTAACGAGCCCCCGTTATAGATCCGCTACACATCGTTAGCACAGCTGCTGCAGCAACAATAAATCGACCACACGTCAGGGAAACGTAGCTACTGGGCGTGAAGGGGTTCCGGATTAGACTATAGATCGGGGTACTTAATCTGTGGTCCATGGATAGACCCCTTTGGGTCCCGTGGATGGGCTTCAGGGGGTCCGTGAACCAGGCGCATAAAAAATCGTGTTTATGTGCTTATGCGCATTTTTCTGGGGAGGGGTCCGTAGCTTTTATCAGATTCTCAATGGGGTCCATGACCCAAAAAAGGTTCAGAACCACTGCTATAGAATCTAGGGATAAACACCAGATTCCGGAGAAGATGCAATATATGTAGAAATTTAAGTATGATCGATGTAAGTAAGCCTGGAATAAGTCTAAATCATCATGTACTCCTCCGCAACACCCTCACCCCCTCTTTTCCTCCCCCCGACACACTATGCACGTTGATAACCATGCACACTATGCAAGGAAACCTTGCCCCTCCCTCGTCATTACTGAGCCGCGAAAGTTCGCTCCTCCCCGCTTCCCTCCCCCCTATACTAGCAATTAACATTTTGTTCATGGTTGCGACGTTCCACTCCTCACTGGAGCTGTGTTACGCGTGCAGTAGTTACGCGTGCAGTAGTTACCAGAGAGCTGAGAACGAGTTGACTGCGCGTGATCTGAGCTCGCAGGGCGTTCAGTTCCCGGCTCAGCTGGTCTTTCACTTCCACCGACAAACCTTCCTTCTGCGGCGGGCAAGAAGAAAAACAGACGTGTTTACACAACCACGTAAGCGATACTCGCGTGCGTGCGTGCGTGCGTGCGCAGACTCGCGCGCGTGCGTGCACATACTCGCGCGCGTGCGTGAACATACTCGCGCGCGTGCGTGCACATACTCATACTCACGCGCATGCAGGCGAAGATGAGAATGCATTATTGCTACGGTGCTTATGCATAGATGGCGGGTTTCTTTATATGTCCGTCGATAATTGGACTATTGAGCGTGCATTAAGTGCCGCCATGCGCTCGCAATTATTTATTGCTCACGCGTACACGTGTTGGACATTTTGCTAAGATGTAACAGAACGGTAATAACATCTTTATACAGAAAACTGTAGTTTGTTTACTGTATATATCCAGCTCAGACTAGTTCTGTGTCGGCTGTAGAATGCGTTGGAAGAAAATCAACACGGATGAATCGTGGTATATTTAAGAGCCGAGTCGTACTCATTTTATCTATCAATATGCTCATAGAGTCCATTTTCTAAAATATGTTATTTGGTTATTAATAATTTAAAAGATGGTCTTGTGATATTCCTCGAATTGAATTACAACACGATTCTGATATTCCTGCATTGAATACAATTGGCCCGCTGTGGTCTGAGTGGAACTTAATTAATATCGACTTAATGTCGTACGTTACATGCCTTCTGTTATCTTTTAGTTTATGACGGACGACTTAGACTCTATTACTAGTAATAACAACTGACTATTTAGACAAAATATCTCAAATGTGAATTCCTGGCACGCAGGTTTTATTGCGCTATTGCGCATGCAGAGGAAACAGACATGGACATAGATCTCTCACGTGGCAATTATACGCATACAGGGGGTATCACTACTCGACATAAACAGAGAAGCCATAACGGACACATCAATCTATTAGCGAACTACGTCTGAGTGGTGTCGTATAGCTTAGTTCGCACCGGTGTGTTTACGTCAGTGTTTTGCAGAACTGCCTGCAAACAGGATGCAGCTATAACTACGGTAACCGCTGTCTAGCTACGTTATACACGACTCTAGAATTTTTCTCTCTCCCTCCCTCTCTCTCCCTCTCTCTCTCTCGCTCTCTCTCTCTCTCTCTCTCTCTCTCTCTCTCTCTCTCTCGCTCTCGATCTCTTTCTCGCTCTCTCTCTCGCGCGCAGCTCAATCTCTCTCGGCCTTCGTCCACGCTTCTTCTTCTCTTCTGTGACTCTATGCCTATCTATCTATCTATCTATCTATGCTATCTATCTAATCTATTTATCTGAATCTAGTCTATCTATCATCTATCCTATTATCTATCTATCTATCATATCTCCTCGTATCTATTGATCTATTAACTATCTAATCTATCATAATCTATCTATCCTATCTATCTATTCTATTTATCTGATCTATCTATCTATCTATCTATTCATCTATCTATCCTATCTATCACTCTATTCATCTAATCTATTCTATCTATGTATCTCTATCTATTATCTATTTCTATCTATGCTATCTATCTCTATCTATCTATTCTATCTATCTATCTATCTATCTATCTACTATCTAATCTTCATCTATCTATCTATCGATCTACTATCTTATCTATCTAGCTATCGTTCTATCTATCTATCTATCTATCTATCTATCTATCTATCCTATCTATCATCTATCTATCTATCTATCGTATCTAATCTATCTATCTATCTATCTATCTATCTATCATCTATTATCTATCTATCTATATCTCATCGTATCTATCTATCTATCTATCTATATCTATCTATCTATGCTATTCTATATCTCTATCTTTATCTATCTATATCTATTCTATCAGTATCTTCGTTATCCTATTATCATCTATTCTATCTATCTACTATCTATCTATCTATCTATCTTACTATCTATCTTACTATGCTATGCTATGCTTCATCTATCTGATCTATTCATCTTATCTATATCTATCGTATCTATCGTATCTATCTCATTTCTGATCTATCTATCTATTATCTATTGCATCATCTATCTATCTAGTCATCTATATATATAAATATTTATATATATCTACCTACTAATCTCCTCCTCCCCCCCTTTCTCCCTATCTCTTTCTCTCTCTTCCTTCTCTCTCGCTCTCGATCTCCCTCTCTCTTTCTTTCTCTTTCTCTCTTCTCTCTCTCTCTCTCTCTCTCTCTCTCTCTCGCTTCTCTTGCTCTTTCTCGCTTCTCTCTCCTCCGGTCTCTCTCCTCCTCTCTCACTCTCTCTCTCTGCCATTCTTCGCGAGGATTCGTAAAGCAAAATAGAAGCCGACAGCATTCGGACGTGCATGTGCGTTGCGTTGTATGAGGAGATCGTAACACGGCGCGCAGTTTGCGTCAAAAATGATGTTAAACTTAAACAGAAGTAAATGGCACGTATCGCGCATATCAACGAGATCGTGCAGTCAAGAGGAGGATTGGTGTGTGTGGTGTGTGGTGTGTGTGCGTGCGTGCGTGCGTGCGTGCGTGCGGGTGCGTGCGTGCGTGATCGTGCGTTCGGGCGTCGCGTGCGTGCGTGCGTGCGTGTGTGGTGTGTGTATGTATGGTGTGTGCTGTGTTTGTGTTGTGTGTGTGTGTGTGTGTGTGTCGCGTGCGTGCGTGCGTGCGTGCGTGCGAGCGTATGTTTGTGTGCGCGCCTGCGGGGTGTGTCTATTGTGCGCCGTGTGTGTGCGCGCTACATGCGTGCGTGCTTTGCGTTGCGTTGCGTGCGTGCGTGCGTGCTGGTTTACAGTGCACGGCACCTTCAATCTTCTTGCGAAAGCCGCGAGCTCTAGCCCTACAACAATATCTATTTATAGCTGGACATCATGCGTCCGTTACGAGCCTTGCAGACAGCATCCCCGCCAAAGGAAGCCAGAAGAAGAATTCTTCTCGGATCACAAGAT